TCGGGCTCGCGAGATAAAGGAGATCGACAATAATGCCGTCGGTGCACCCTCGATCCCGTGGCACCAGGCGCAGCAGGCAGCCATTATTATTGTTTTACCTCTGCACCTCGGACGGAGATCGGCGAATGTGCCGCGGAAGGCTGAATACGCGCGCGCCTTCGATGAGCAGACAGAGCCCGGAAGAAGGGATTCGCAAGGGAGACTCGTGCTGAACGAATACGACAGAGATGCCGAAGATAAAAGCGCGTTAATCCGCCTTCCGTTACTTAGAGAGATTGAACATGCGTGAGATACCATTAAATCCAGAACCAATCATTCTCGCACTGAAATTTTACCTGTCTTTAATTTTATCGCGTGACTTCGGGGCTGGAACTAAAACGGAATTTCAGCGCGGCTGAAAGCGTATTCAAGATGAAGACTCGAGGACTAGAAAAGTGACGGAAAATTATCGACCATGGAAAAATCGACGATTGAAATCTTTTTACGTACACCTAAACTATTCCTTCGTTTTACATAAAATTTATTTGTATATTATACCGCGAAAGAGTTTCGCATAAGTATTCATGTACGAGGGTAGTTCGAAAAGTTCCCGGTCTGACAAAGAAAACATATGATTGTGGCAAAATTTTTTTTCACTTTTCGACATAGTCCTCTCGTAAGTCAATATACTTAGACCAACGATATTCCAATTTCTTTAGACCCTCAGTACAATACAATTTTTCTAACCCTTTAAAATAAACGTTTGTCTCAGCGATGACAATGTACCTCCGTATTTGAAGTGTATCTTTTTCCAGCGATTTCTTCAGATTCGGGAACAGGAAAAAATCACTGGGGAGGCTAAATCTGGTGAGTACGGTGCATGTGGCAGCAATTCGAAGCGCAACTCATGAAATTTTGCGACTTTTGCAATTGCAGAAGTGTGAGAAACAAGTTTCCGAGAAATACAAAAAAAGGCTTGTTTGCTTTACTCGACGAGATAAATTACTAACCGCTATCTGAAACTTTTTCGGAGGCCCTCTGAAGGATCGAACTTAAGAAAAATCATAGTCATTTGATACTTTCCCAGTGCTATCTCTATGTCAAGCCGAGAACTTTTCGAACTACCCTCGTAATTGTGCACGAAGATAAGGGAATTTCATATTATTGGCGAAAATAATTCCGGCTATCATATTGTCCTCTCACGTCGACATCGTCAATAATATGTTCACGTAGTACACGGTATGCGTATCAGCGATATTGAAATCGTAGAAAGGTATTCGAGACCCCCGTGTTTCCCCCGCAGTGACGCCCATGCAGGGTTTGGAGGTGAAAAAACAATGCTGCAACGACCCGAACCCCTTCCGCCTCGATCACGATGGAGATCCTTTCTGCGCGCTCTTATCTCTCTCCTCCCTTTATCTCTCCAGTCTTCTGTCTTTTCTCTTTCTTTTCTTTATCTTCCTTTCCCTTTCACTTGTCTGTTCCCTTCTCGCTCCCTATCCTCTGATGAAAATTCTTCTACGTGCCTCTACGTCATGTCGTTTGGTCTCGCGCAACGCGATACAATGCCACCTCGGGATGCATTGTGAATCAGACTCACCAGACAACCCGACGAGGTCGACAACATGCCGACAGCTGTGCGCGATGATATCTAAGCTAAACTGATTATATTTAACTCGGGAAAATATTTTTTAGACAAGGTCTCGGGCATTAAACAGCGTATCGATCTCGCACATTCAATTATTGAATATTATTGGAAATAATATTCAATGGAAATGAGAAAACTGATCCATTATGGGGAAATAAAAAATCCATGTATGTAGATTGTAAATGCTTCTTGTAAAAAAAAAAATCATGTAATAATTTCTAGAAATTTAAGTAAAAATTATGAAATCTCTGATTACTTAGCCAGCTATTCTAATTAAATTTGATTCTTAAAAATAATTTTTGAGTGAAAACATTTTTGAAGATTTTTTTTCAAAATTTCTGAACAAATAAATCGCAAAAGCAAAACAAAATATGTCGGAGCGATGTATTTTCGTTAGTTTATTATTCCGTACAATTACTGCGCAATTAAATGATGTTAAAAGGAGTTTGCAAGAGCGACAGAATTACCTCACTTTCAAGGCAAGCTACTACAGCTTTTTTCTCGAGCTATTATAATTGTTTCAAGGGAAATTTGTTCTGTTGATCTATTTTCCATATCTCGTCAAGAAGGAAATGAAAGTAGCAACGACGCTCTTCGACGAAAGCGTAAAAAATTAAAAAGTACGTCTTCGTCCTTGTTGGGTTAGATCTTTTAACGTAAATATCTTTATAGAAAGTGCGAAGAAAGTGCGTTCTTTTCTCTTCGACGTTATAAAAGTATCGACATTATCGGGAGAACCGCTGAAGACTTAAATAACTCTCTTTGAAGAGCGTATATACGTAGGAGAGTGCTTAGAACGATGCGACAACGAAGGGTTAACTTCAATATTGCGTTGCAGCTAATTTATTAAAATGATTTCTGTCGTTAAAAACGGCAGTCGTACTAATAATTTTCATTCGCGACGTTATCGACATAAAAAAAAAAATCGTCTCTCATAAATACCATCCTTTCTATGCATTTCCCTCATTGCATTTATTAATACGCATTTAAAATCTATTTATTATTTTGACTCATCATGTATTGCAGTCACTGTATAAAAATCGATCTACAGATAATGTACGTAAATGTATACCACAATGAATATGTACTATGTATAATATAAATACATAGTTTAAAGGAAGAAATAATAATCGCGTGAAATTTTCAAAGAAAAGTAAAAATTTTGAAAGCGGTATTCATAGTTCGTTCTTATATTTAAGACGTTCTTAACAAGATATAATTCAGATGTCATAAGTTAATCACAGTCATATTGCGGACATCTTAAGACATTATTTAAGACGGTCTCGAAATAAAAACCTATTATATCAGCTTAATGTAGATTTCTAGAATTTAAGATGCACAGTATGAAACAGGCCAGATTGAAAAATCTCACCCCTCGCCGGGACAAGCGGCGCCTGCAGCTCGCGCGATGATTGCGCTGTAATCTGCTTTCGCTTTGCTTTTTCGAGGAACGCGGGGGTAGCTGCCGCGTGATTGGCCGGGGGCGTTGTTGGGTCTTCCGTTTCGACCGATACATCGACAACAGTCGAGATACACTTAGGGAGGATACACGCGGGAGATAGACCTCCAAGGAGAGAATAAGAGACGGAGAGGAAGAGACCGCGTCGGTGGGAAGACGAAAAGAGACGACGGCAAGAGGACGAGGGGGGAAGAGGACGGAGGGGATGAAACAACCCTCCTGATACGGGTTATCCTATAAACGGCGCTACCCCCGCAGCAACGCATCGATAATCCGGCCCCCGGGGCCCGCATGCGGTTGAACGCTCGCAACAGTTACCATATTTGATTGCGTACCCTCCTACCCTCCTCTATAAGATCGGAATACGAAATAATATGCTGTACCGCGAAGTAATGTAGGAAATAATGTTCTGTACTGTAAAGATCTTACGCTCGCGATAACTCGTTATTTTTCTACGGGATTAACATTGTCAGTACATAATCGTTGACAGATCTTAAACAGTTGTTGAAAAGTTGTTTCTGTGTTATGTTAATTTTTAAATTATACAACATATCAGTTGTAATAATCAGTGATATAGATTATATGTGTTATCAGTTATCAGTTAGATTATATATAGCGTATAAGTAATTAACGGTAAAATTTATCATTGGTTTCTTGGGTTGGTTTAGATATGATGTGACTTATTAAGATGTATGACCTTCTGCGAATTTTCTAATTATTTTATATAAAATTATTTTTGTTATAAAGCCAATTAACGCGTGCAAATTAAAGTGTAAAATTATATTTGATATTTCAAGTATACGTCTTTTATTATTATTGCCAAAGTAATTTAAACTTGTTTCAACAAACAACTTTACTAGAAAGATAACATGCGTTACAATTATATAATTATATTTTATAAAAAAATACTTAGACGATCAGGAGATTTCTTCCCAATTCCATGTTGTTTGATAGAGTGATTCTAAGATAATTTGCATTTCGTCAAATCGTATATACAAGCAGGCAGAATCGCAAGTCTTTCCTCATGATCGGCAAGATCGACGGGGCAAGCGTCGTGATAAATAAAAAAAAAAAATCAAGGGAACTGTTCTTCGCTGCTCCTGACGCACCCTACGTCACGGAGCTGTAGCGGTGATGATGGCGGGAAAATGCGGGGGAAAGAAATCGCACGCGTTTGATGTGCCGCCAAAGAGAACGCGCGGGGTGGGAGAGGGAGGGAGGGAGGGGGAGAGAGAGAGAGAGAGAGAAGAGAGATAGGGACGAGGGGGAGGAATATGCCGTCGGTGGCGGAGTAGTTTCGCGTGGGTTGGTCGGTCGACTGCAACCACGTTTCTGCGCAATCCTCTACATCCCCCGCCAACCCCGAACCGTCTCTTTCTTTCTCGTTCGCTCCGATTTGCTTCGCGTTTCTCTGTTCCTCCACGCTTCGAAGGCCGCGCTGAAACGTTACCGGAAAATTATTACCGGAAAAGCGTTGCACACACGCGTGCGGCAAACCGCGGGACCCACCGACGGAATTACATTGATATTAGTATCGTTTAGCCCGACAGATTAATTAATTAAAACGAACCTCTCCCCCTTGCCGCCAGTGGCCACTCATCCCGCACGCACGTATTTGTGTTTCACGCTAGCGCTTCAACACAGAAAGCATACCAAAATATATTGTGCGCCAACAACTGTCGAAGGCTTTCGCCGTATACGCGAGCATTAGCCTTTTGCTTGTCTAAATGTAGTATTGACGAAAAATACAAGATGCCTTTAACAAACTGTACAAGTATAATACGATTGAACATTTCGACGAAGGATCTCATTTCTTCGTAATAGCCGTGTTATGGGAAAATCGAGTGAACTAGATCTAGTGTGCACTGTTGCACTAAGAAAGGTGTCATAATAATTATTCAAATATAGACTTACCTTTCTTCGCGTGCAATATATCCGCTGGATCCGGTGGCAGAGACGAACAATGGCTCGGACTCAAACTAGATTGTATCGACGAAAACGGACTTCCCGCGCTCGACGGATACCTAAGATAACGACTGCTCTCAGCAAGAGAGTACACATGTTACGCATGCTATAAATAAGATTCTATCAAGAAAGTTATTTTCGAAAAAGTAAAGGACCCATGTATAATCTATAATAGAAATTTATTTAAAAAAAAATCTTTCCGAGAATTTTTTCGGAAGACTTAAAATTTTCCACTCGATTACGAAAAGTTAGTCCCGGAACTCCATCCCTATAATTCGTTGTGCAATCAACTATTTTTCCTACGCTTAAAATCTTAAAAAGATGAAAAATTGCAAACAAGTTAAAAAGAGTCGAAAAAAAGTTGATCCTTGATCTTCGATTAAAGAACACGTAATTTGCATAATAATACCATTCTAACGAGCACGTAATTTGTTTGCTAATGAGCCAATAAGTTTTACCAGGGATTGGGTCGCGGCCAGCCGGTAGTCTGTCCGTTTAGTAGCCTGAGTTTATCGTAAACGCTCTCCGCCGGACTGCCGGCACCAACGCCAACCCCCACGCCGCCCACCCCTTGTTGCTGCTGTTGTTGCTGCTGCCTCTGCTCCTTCTGCGCGGCCAGATTTCTCAGTACCCTGTTGATCGAGGACACCTGCAATCCGGACACACATTCATCAATATACAAAACAACTAATTGTGCATTGGCATAATCAGATGAATTCTGCTTAACTTTGATTTACGATATATCTTGCACAGTTCTCGATACGTTCCACGGCAAAGTTACGTACGAGCAATACTTTTTATTGCATCGAGGAGAATACAGGGAAATGAAAGTTCTCTTTTTAACGACTTTTACTGTAATTTCATTTAAATTTATACATTCTTATTCTTACTTTCATTACATTTTATACAGTAAAGAAATGTGTGTTGAAAATTTCTATCATATTACTCGTTATATTCTTTATGTTCTTGCTCGTTCTTTATGTTATTGTTTTCTTTATTTTATTTCATTTATTTTATATCTATTCATTTTATATATCTATGTATTTTTTAGTTACAGGTATTTCTTTATACTGTTTACCATGCGTTCGTTAACAGTTCTTATTTTTTTGTTATATGTGCCACTGAACGTCTTGTTCACTTATCTATATGTCCTTAGAGGGTTTGCTCTTGAGAACAGTAATAAACTTTCTCTCTCTCTCTCTCGCTCTCTCTTCTTCCCGATGGTATCGGATTTATTATAAATACGAAGTGTACGGAGAGTGATGAAGATCTTCCGGGAGAGAGAGAGAGAGAGAGAGAGAGAGAGAGAAGCAGGAAGACTTCTGTCCGATGAAATGCGACGAGAGTGGTAATTAAAACGATGCGGTGAGCAGCTGCCGGCGCGGCGCATTGCACGAGGGAGTTAATTACCTCCGCCTTCAATTATATCCGTCTCTGCGCCACTCCAAGGGGACTTGGCTTCTGCCGACGTAAGTACGTAAGCACTCGTGCGTTTGCGGCGCGAGTTAACGCTCTCTACGCACGCATCCGCGTACCGAAATTCGCGATCGCTCTTAACTCTTAAGTGAGCGCCGCAGTACTGTAACATCACAATATATTGCGTTCGATCGCGATATGAAGATTTCCACGGGAAATCTACGCGGGAACAAGTTTCAAGCCGCGATGTATCCTACATACATGTATACGTACATTGCTCATTTCTTAATTATTATGTTGACATATAAAGACACTTCATATATTATTAATTTCCTAATTCCTTTTAAATATATTTAATTGCGTACTTTTCTTATTAACTTTTTAATTTCGAGTTACATTTTTAATTCTTCTCCAATTCTCCCACTTACTTGTTACCTACCTTTCCCACTTGCATTAAGAGGGTTGAAAATTAACGAATGTTATTTTTCAGAGAGATATTTTCTATCACAGATACGCATCGTGTTACTTGATTTTTTATTCAGAAATAAATTTTTTATTTAACTGTACTCTCTTGCGCAAAATGAAAACGAAATTAAAAGTCGAGCTTTTTGTTTGCGACATCATAGCAAACCATTTATTTTGTGTGTATATGCGAATGCGAGCACGATGAAATATCTACGGCGCGAAGAATTTACGATCTCCTAAAGACAGGGTCGCTCTTTTTATTTTCGTATCTTTTATTTGTCTTCTTCCGCGGGCTGCGTTCGTCGCTTCTGTCACTTACAGCTCGTATAAATCCCGACGGAGTCGTAAAAGAATTCTCACAAAACTAAAGCGGCAGGTTCTCCTGCTGCCGATAGTTTTGCAATTTATTCCTTTACACTCTTGTATTATGCCACGCATGTCGCGGCAAGCGACGCCATATTAAGAGCATAATAAAAGGACGAATTTTTCAATTTCGATCCGTCATTAAGAGCAATAAGAATTAATGTGCTCATAAAAACTTCGTTCAAGACTCGCCTAATTGAGAAATGAATGCGACAATATAATTTTTTTGGAGCAATATTTATAACATAACGCACTAAAACTAAGGGACGTTTCGTTTTCAGTTTAGACATTCTACGTAATTATTTTAATGGTCCAACCAAATTATTTTCTGCATCTATTTAAATTTTTAGACACTTCAGTAAAACCATTCTTTCCGTTTAAATATGACAAATTGTTGTAGAACGTTCTTTAATTGTAAAAATAATGGCCTCTCAGGAGAATATTTATTTTGTAATTGTTGGAAATTTTTTTCACGTTAATTGGATTATAGATCTATCTTTTAGATCTATCTCTTAATAAAGAAAATTTGCAACACAAAATTTATAACAAATAAACATTCTATTGAACGCTGCCTATGCTTGATTCTTTTTGTAAATCCTGAAATTAAATTCTTTTTAAATTTCATATTTAATGACACGTTTAAAGTAAAGCAAATTAGTCACTCCTATGAACTTAACGCGCTATTTTTAATATTTCGATGTAATCGATAAAATTCTGACCTTCTTTTACAAAGGATCTTAAAGTATCCTAATGCAGTATCCTATCAGTCGATAAATCTGGAATGAAGGTGAACGGTTCCGGTAGATAATTTTTCATGATTATTCGTCGCATCTTGATTATATTGCACGCACCGGATCAAAAGGCAGGACGAGAGACGAGAGAAATAAACCGAATGACGGTGGTACCAGCGACAGAATGCCGGATCGGTCATAGGAGATATTCGTTCCCCGGGGTTTGTTAGACCCGATGTCAGGGTACCACGGCGTTGAAACGAGCTGACATCTCGGACCCACCACCGGAGCGGAGCGTCATCCCCCTCGGCGCCCACGACGGCCACCATCACCACCACAACCGCACGATCTCGTCGTGTCTCTCCGCCGCTGACGCGAAAGAGACGTCACCGGCACTCACCCCTCGTCTTGTCGCCAACATCCACCGATGTCCGAAACATTCTGCCTTCACGTACCTCCAAAGATTCAAATGCCTTCCGTCAACAACCTCCGTGATATAGAAAGGGATAGAATAGATAACCGGTAAATGACGAGGATCAAAAACACTTCATTGTGCTTCATTTAATTATAAACGTCCGAACCTTTTTAAAAAAAAAGTATTGAAGATTAATTCCTTTACAAGTACAATAAAAAGTACGAAATTTTACGCAATATATTCTTCTAAAACCAAAATTAAAGTATTCAAATTGGTAAAAAGTGTGATTAAAGTTCTTTCACAATAAACAGAATTAAATTTTAAAAAGACGTAAAGAATACACCTTTTATGTAAAGTGGCAAATGTGATATATTTTCTCGATTTTATGTTATTTCTATTTTTATGATGTATTCAAGAAACTTTTTTTAAATTGTACTTCTATCATGTATTTATCGGAGCACGGAAATATCCATGCGATCTACCAGATTAGGCAAGTTGATTCGTCGATGATTCCAAGCTGCGCCTGTGAAGTTGGCCGATGTCAAAACCGATCCACAATGAAAAAAGTCGTTGTCGCGCACAAAGAAGCACTTGGCGACAAAGCCAGAAACCCAACGAGCGACGGCTGCCTGTCAAGGGACAATCGGCGCCTCGCGTGACATCGAGTGTCCGGGCTGTTTGACCGTTTTTTGATTGACGTCAAACCGCAAATATCGTGCTAGCTGCTTCTCAATCGTTGCGATATATTTACGACGTGTGTCACCCTCGTTATTATTCGTAGAGATCGTTGTACCGTGGAAATCGACACCACAATAAGCCCGCTTTTGTGGCAAGCCAAGCAGGCGCTTTGCAAAACCACAAGGCACTTCCATATCGCGACACTTCCTTCTTGGACCAATCTCGAAAGTGGAAGGTCCTTCTAGACACATAAGCTATTCCACTTCTGCATTAAATTTTAATGACACGTTGTTTGCTTTAGGGCCAATTTTTATGAATCGGGCTTTAGAGATGCTCTAACAAAGGTGGACTCTTAATTTAATTTCGAACGGACTATGGTTCATCAAAACGTAAAAAATTAAAAACAAACGCACTCACCTTTAGAACCTACATTTATTAACCAAAATTAATTCAGTATTGCTTTAAGCGCTAGTATTTCATCCGAAAAGGATCAGATGGATAATGAAAGGCACGTAGGCCGAGGACTCGTGGCGTTTTATTGGCTCATCGTCGACAATGGGATTCCCGACACATTTTTGCACGGATACAGAGTCGTGCGATATGATACGCGAATAGCATAAAAGGAACGTAGATATTATCCTTCATCCGCGCACGGCCCGCATAAAGGACACGCGGCGAGGGCTGAAATCGTGACGCAAGAGGAAGAAGCCGACATCAGATCGATGAAATTAGCATGAAGCGTGAAGAGCTCGAGGGTGGCCGATCTCTTAAAAAGGGTGCTGGATAGAGACGTCATAATATTGCTCTCACGTGACACCTTGACGATGCGAAATCTCTTTCGCAAAAAGTCAGCGAATTATTCTTAGGAAACTGCGGAAATAAAAATTGCAAACTAAATCATAACCATTATAGCAATAAATATCCCTTTTATGATATTCGAGACTCTTTCCGAAGACAAAACGAATTAATTTAGAATTTACAAGAGAAACGTAATCTATATTTATATATAAGCATAATATATATTCCTTTATAAGTATTTAAATACATTTAATTTTATAAATAATATAATCTTTTTGGCAAAATAAATTCCCGTCTCCTTCTCTTTCCATTTAATCTCCGATTTTATTTTTTTTCGCCTGGAAAAATTTTCGATTTCGCTCTTTTGATGCGCATCCAAGCGTATGTTTTTCATTAAAATTTATTTGTTCGGAGCGTACACTATTCTTATATCTCAGTCGTGATAAATAAAATTTGATTTCTCTCGTCGAACACGGACAAGCAGCACTTTTAATCGCCATGTCGTGTTATTACGGTGACGTTAAGATGCGAAACATATACTTATAACGCGTGTGTTATCTCTTAACGCATAGGGACTTCGTGCAAACGGAGAGCGAAGCTGCAATTTTTACGAGTGCTTATTCGCGGTAGTCGCGTATTTCCTGCCCGGGCTCGTTCATATGTATGTATGAGTCGAGGGTGTTAACCGTGAAGAGAACGGAAGAACACGAAGGGTGCCACGACTTTCTCTTTTCCTCCTTTCATTCAGACTACTTCCGTTATCCTGGGGGTCCAAACGAGCCT